CTCTTAAAACGAATCACTTCAACTTCCAGGAACGGTAACCCTTTACCTTCCTCTACCACCATTGTGAATTGAATTTTTGCATCAATCTGGTTTACAAATTGCAGAAACGTTTCACCAGCATCGTAGTCGGCATCATCAGTGAGTTAAACCATTCTCCGTACCAAACTTTGGTCTCTGACGCGCTCGTAGCTTGGTGCGGAGAATGGCAAAACTCACCAATGATGCCGCCTACGATGCCGGTTGAACGTTTGAGAATGTATCAAGTCCACTGTCAGATGCTGGGAATCATGACAATTAATATGGCAGACGACTTCGGACTAGGTGCGTTTTTCATAGTCTCCCTGATAACAAGACCAAGTTGCGACGAGGTCAACCCACTTCTATAAATCGAAAAAAAGACTACGACCATAACAGAGGCCACAACATCTTGGTCTTCATATATTCAATTAGTTTCATCAAGCCAGTAAGTTAAGCCAATGCTGGGAAAGTTAGCAAGAAAATGGTGGTCACAAAAGTCACGGCTCACCCGGATTAACAGTCGAAAACCCGAGTTCCTCGATTTGCTTATGCAGCCAAGCCACTGGGAGATCGGTAGTAGATGTCCGCCATGTATGGCATCCTGAATTCAACTCATCCAGTTGAACAAGTGGCAATCTAGGGGAGGCAGCAGACAAAACAAAAGTAAACTCAGCTTCCGCTTGATCTAGTCGTACGCTGCAGCCAATCATTCGAGGAGTTGGGAGTCCGGTAGATGTTTTAATATCAGATAGTTGGGTGAAATGGCGCTCTATCTTACCGACGCAAGATCTACAGCGCATTCCGTACACAGGAAGAAGGAGCTGATTTAGAGACAAAAACGTAGTTGATGCATGGTATTCATAAGTCTTTTAAAGTATATTTGAAAATACATAAATATTAATTTTTAATTAATTTGCCGATGCAAAAGATGGTGACAGTTATGTGAAATCATTAAAATGTCAATCAATGGAACCCCTAGGTCGTGAGGGATTAAAGTATTATATGTTTAATACTCATAAACTATTCTTCCTCTAAGGCCTAAAGATCATAAGCAACTACCTTCTTACAAGATTTAATGGATCTTCGAGGCAATTAGCAG